TGTGTGCGCTGAAAGGGCTCCGGGTCGGCGTTGACGTGCATTCGCGACGAGATCCACGCTGACAATGCGCGCAGGAAGCTGGAGAGAACGGAGCCGGATGGAAAGCGACACGGTTAAGTGACACGCGCTGGATGGTGTAGAATATATATATATAGGTGTATATGTATATCTGGAAAAGCGGTGCGAGACTGTGCTGAAAAATCAGGCTGGACCCATCATCTTTCAACGGTGTGTTGCTATTCGAAGTGTGTCGGTCTCTGAATGACCCGTGTGCGCGCCTCCTTTGCTCTACGGGCTTCCAAAACGGCCCGAGGCTCTGGATGCTGCCGGATTCGTAGGAAACGTCGCGCGTTTGTCTTTCACTCGCCGAATACGGGTTGCCGCTTCGACTCGACGTTTTCGCCAAGAAGAAGCCAGGCCAGTGTTCCGTGGACTAGTTTGTGCAAAGAGGGGTGGAACGTCGAGTGGATTTTTAGAAAGAGCGCGCGTTCGTTAACCGTGTTATTCTTCCCCGTTTACTTGACACATTTCTCGCACAATGGATCACCAGATGCAGGCTTACCCCTCGGGACGTGGAGGAAAAAGGGATCGTAATTTCAAGTAAACTTGCACACCCGTCTTCTCTTACCGACGCGATCTTTCCACCGATCGTCTCGTTTTTTCCCCTCCCGAAACTTCGTTTCGACGCGGTGCAAATTGTATTACACACCGGTGCTGCCTGGCCGAACAGTCCAACGAGCGCCGGTAATTTGATCGATATTACCGAGGGTGGGGGGCCTGCTTTATACACCGGGGGTCGGCCGTGCAATTTCAAATTTGAATAGTAATCGCCACTCGTTACGTGATACGCGAATGCAAAAAGTACAGTCGAATTTTCACAATTGATCGAATCAGCTTTAGCCCATGGTGAGAATCGAATCGAGCAGTGGCGCGTGTTGTCCGTTGCGCACGGACAAATTGCCCGTGAACGCGCGCCACCACCGCCGCCGCCGCCGCTCGTCGGTGGTTCGACCTTTTTCGAGACGCGGACGTTCCGCGATATACGCTGAGAATATTCACGGGCTAACGGGTTTCCCGTACCACTGTGCCGGAACTTTCTTCTCGTTCCCGGTGTTTAATTCGAAAATGTCTTTCGTTCGAAACTCCTCCGTATCATAACCGAGAGAGAGAGATTTGCATACGGCTGGTGGCTCGTACGCGTAGCTAACTAATTTTCTCCTGTATCAGACAGCTGGTGGATAAAGTTTATCGCGATATATGTACGTGCATGCTCGCGAGGCTGGGCCGTGGGACGCACAAGTGAAATTGACCGGAGGAGCTTTGGGTAATTTCGCCGAGGCGCACGAGTTGTCAACTAACTTCCCCTCGTAAACTGAATAGGAATCTCGAATGTCGTCGATTATCGGTAATAAATACCGCAGTTGGAGTTATCGGTCCTTGGTCGGCTCGAAAATTCGTAGTTGTGTAGCGACGATCGTTTTTCTCTGTCGATTTCGTCACCGATCGCGGACAACAAGTAGGGTCGCGTGGGAGCCGTCGACACGGGCCAATTAGTCGGCTGTTTCGTTGAATTCGACGAGAGAGCCGACGAATAGGTAGATCAGCGCTAAGTGGTTGCGTCACGCGAAAACGCTCGATCGAAGTGGGAGCCGTTTAATTCGCCCACGATTCCATGGATTTCGTCGCTTTGCAGTTGATCCCTTGCCACGCGAAGCTTTTGATAACTTATAGCTTTCGAGAAAAAGAAAGAGGCGAACAGCGGGGAGAGATTGTAGTGTCACGAGTGTGAATTCGGAGGAAAATCGTGACACGCGATCAAACGGGGTTGGAAATTAAAGCATTAAGATTCAATTAATACTGAATCGAAGTAGAGGCATACTTTACGTGGCTCTGACTCAGCTTTCCGTCGAGATACGCTCGAACGTGTAAATTTTGACGTCTGATATCTCTTCCATCGGCTGTACATCCAGGAGGTTACCGTTCTTCTTCCCGGTACGATTCATCAGGTTGCGTGCGGCGATCGGTCGGGGATGAAAGGAGTAAGGGATTACAAGGGTAGGGGATATCGGTCAATCCCAGCGGCTCGGCGCTAATAACCGTGAAACACGAAGACGAGTTATGACGGGTGGTGTCGGTGGGTTGGAATTGCGCGGACGACATGTGCCATTGTTCAAACCAATCCTGTTCTCCACACCCCACTGGTTAACCGTGCGTCTTCTATTAGCGACGTACAATCCCGCGATCGTTCCGTGTCCCCTTGCTTCTCTCAAGACGGCGACGAGATTTCCTCCGTGTTACATCCTGAATCCCGGTTATAGCACGGTTGATCGCCGGTTTACCAGGCTGGATCGCGCGCGACCGAAGGCCAGTTCACCGTGAGACGGTAAAACCGGAGATTCTATCCGGCATGATATCGGCGTTAAAGGCCAATAATCGTAAACGGTGGCGAACCGTGGTATATATTCTCTTTTACCGGCATGCACGTACGAGTGTGCCCGACCTCGCCGCGGATCGTTTTTTTACCGCGACCTCTGCAAGCTCGGAAATTTTCGAGAAACACGCTGAGCGCTAACATTATGGTACCGCGGAACGTGCTTTCAGCGAGATGAACACTGATCTCTGGAAAATAACGCGAGTTCAGCTATTTACCGACCTATTTACTCCAATCCGGAAATTTTGGTATACTTGACACTCTGTCCGTGGTATGCGAGTGTAATATGCAGTCGCTTTTAACCGGCGATCAGCGTTAATCTGTGTAAAATGAGCAGCGACGAAAGTCAGGATTAAACATTGAAACGTAGGAGAGTTGGGGGTAATCGTGGATCGATTTCACCGGTAATATTTTCCTCGGTTGCCGAAACACGTCCGCGGTCGTTTGATCATCGTCGTTGGTAATCCGAGCACTGCCTCAAAGCGACATAATTATCATCGCCCCCCTGTCGAAAATTGCGGCAGGCCTGAATCGCCTCTCTCCGTCCCAGGATGGCTGGATCGATCGGATCGGTGCTCGCATCTGAGCACGTATCTCGCTAATCGATTCGATTCATGCGTCCGCCTTGCGCAGAATTTCAACTAACCCCCCGGAAGAATGAGACTGTACGCGCGATGTCAGCGTACGCGCCTCGATGTTACGAATGCGTGACGCGTGCCAACGTACGGCGCTCGCTAACGAACTTGTCGTTGTTGCAGGTGATGATAGCGGCACGTTGCGGAGGCTAAGGTGGCCCTCGAGGACGTGGCGAATTTGGTGAAAATCGGCGCCGGGAGCGGTCGATCCGGGCAGCGGTAGTGGTGGCGGAACGGCAGGGGTAAGTAGCCGCGATCCAACACATTTGCGTACCTTTGCGTACGTGCCTTCACGAGTACAAAATTATAACGTTACAATCGAATCTCCCTTAAAGTCCCGCAATCAGAGTACACTCGGCGAAGAAGTTTGATCTGCAATTTGAAACGAGCAGAAGAGACGTCTCGCTCGGAGACGAATTTTTCTGATTGAAAATAACGGAATCGTGGCGTGAATGGTCGATCGTATCGGGCAGAGAGCTCGTCGAACGTGTCGAGTAAAATCCTGATGGAGGTTAGACAGAGCGCATAGTTTCACGTTTCGCGAGGCCAGCGTGCGGAATCGGCCGTAGGAGGAAGAAATCCAGGTGGATTCCAGGTTGTAGTCGAAAGTAATGGAACTCTTATCGGACGATTCGAGCCGGTTTTCAGCGGGGTAATCGAGCGGCGCGATACGAATCGCGGATTAAACCGTTCCGAGGATCGATTAAGGCATTATGTCGTTCTCGTGACTATATTCGCTGGACGGAACGCGATGGAGAACAGCTAGGAGACGTACGGTTATCGCAGCATGGGATTAAGAAAGCTGCGCGCAAATTGAAAATACCGCGATCCGATAACAAAGGGAGGGGAAAATGGTCCCTCCCTCCCTCTCGCTATTTATCGGCTGCATTAATTACCAGCCCGAGGAAACGTATAATTATATTCGAATACGCGATTAGAGCGACCCGGTACAATTTATCGTCGGTTTTAATTGAAACGGCAAACGCGCGGTGTATCGCGCCGCGTTTACCTTCTTTCTCGTTTTTTTACATCGTTAACGAATGATTCGCACGCGCGATTCGAATAACGCAGGATAGTATCGAGACTCGTGGTTAAAGGGAATATCCACGTTGATGGGATAGTTGGAAAGCAGAATAATTTGTGCCGGTGGTCGAAGAGTTGGCCTACCTCCCTCGATTATTTACACCGAATCCTCCGCCACGCTATCTAAGCTGGCTTACACGCTCGTTTATGATTTACAGATACTATGGGAGCGGGGGTATGGGGGGCGGAGGAGGGCTACAAGCCACGGACCTCCGGCGAAGGCTCGAGTCCCGGTGTTCAGGAAGCACTTTTCCCCAGAGCCCTCGTTCCTTAAGGCACGATGGCTCCTGTACACCAGACCTGTCCGGCAACCTTGGTCAGGAAGAAAGGTGCCTCTCCGTATATTCCTTGTTAAATTTCGGAGGCGCGCGCAGAGAGAGGCTCTAACACGGGGTAAATTTGTTTTTCCAACAGAGTTGACTTGCAAGCGACTCTCGCTTCCGGCCAGCCCACATGTGCAGGTTCTCGAGCGTGCAGACGACAGGCGGACGAGGAGAATGACCGAGAGAAAGGCTCGAGATGCTCGAACCGTGGATCCGGTGTAATCGGTTCGCTGTACGGAAAGCTGCGGCTCTCCGTTGGAAGATTCCTCAGCACGGAGGCTGAGAAGGTGGAAGGAGGCAATGGGAAAAGGCATCGGCTTCGATGGTGTCGCAAGGATTTCCGGTGGATCGCGGATGTGGCCACGAGGACCCTGCTCCTCAGCATCGTGCTTTTCGTCACGCCAGGTAAATCGCCCGATCCTTTCTTTTTTTCTACAAATTCGAGCGTACCTCGGGAAGTAGAGTAATTGGAATCTAGGTAGTGGCTGGTGGTCGTGAAAGGGTTAAATATGCGTACACGAGTAGGTCACGAAAGACACCGAAATTGTGGATAAGTGAGACGACATCGGTGTGGTTGGTGGCCTCTTTAAACGGAGCGCGCGAGCACGCGTTTGTTTCATTACCGTTTACTGGTTTCCCGGGTTGTACATTAATTACCGAGGCTTGCTAATCAGAACAAGTCTACCGGGTCACGATAATAGCTTTCCATCGTCTCTCAAGTACGATCGACTGATTGATCTTGGATTGAACATAGTGTGTTGTGTGGCTGGTTCCTGTGACGCGCGTAGGTCAGGCCCGTAATGACGTCGATTGAGATCGAGCGGAGAGGTTCCGTCAAGATACCTCTGGTAATTGGTAATACGTTTCTACGTCACAGTGTACAATTACGCGTGCATTCGCTCGTTCCCTCGTATGTTTCGCCACCAGATTCTGTCAGACGCAGCTTCCACCAGACATCGATTTCTCGTAAACGTAGGAAACGATCGTTTATCGGTTCGATCGAACGCGTACCGTTTGCAATATCGTCTTCGACGTTTCTCCAAACTGTCTCTGTATTAAACTTCTCTGTTTTTTTTTTTCTCTTTTTTTCCGCTCGAACCAACGGTTATTTGTCACCCGAAGCGACGTGCCCGCCTCTCGCTCTTCTGTCGCAATTCTAAAGAATCTTTCTGTCGTGAATCAAATAAACGTCCGCGAGTGTCGCTAAGATAGATGTAAAAATTCCCTTTTTTAATCATTCCCGGGTGTCTAAACTTTTTACGAGAGGAAAATTGAAAATTCCCTCTCGTGTATAAACGCGGACAAATGCCTCTCTGCTCCTCCTCTCGTCGATCGACGGGAAGAGGGACAACGAAAAAGCCCGGCGACAGGGGGGAGGCGCGCTTAACGGTTGAAAAGTATCCAACGAGTCGAGGACAACGTTTCGATACCGTTCAATGCGTGGAAATAACTTGCGAGCCAGCGGGGAAAATTTACCTTTCGCAGTAACCGCGTTTATTTACGACTGTTACGCAGATTTACCCGTTTCAAAAGGATCTTTCCTCTCTTTTATCTCCTTTCTCCCTGTTCAGTCTTACACGTTCACGCGAGCTCGCCTCGGTCTGGCGGATTATCACTTCGGCCGACCAGACCCCCCTTGGACTACCATGCGCCGCGCCAACGATGGGACTTTTTTTTACCATAAAACGGTACCGCTTTCGGGGCTGACAGGCATCCCTTTCTCCGAAGAAACGCGTCGCCGTTCGTTTAGCCACCTCGCTAACCAATTAGCGCAATCAGAACTCGTCACCATCGCCTGACAGTTCAGTTCACAATTATTCAGTAGTGCTACCGCATCGTCAACTCACTAAACCTTCATCCAGATAATCATACTCCATCAGTCGAGTGTAAAACGTAGTAATAAAGAATCAACAACCGCAGTAAACGATAGTTTGGGCTTGACAGGCTTCGCCGACCTTAAAACGTCGAACGAGCCAATCAGCACAAGGCGAACCATTTTCTTGCGTCAAAGAAAATCGCCTTACAACGTGCCGGTACACTCACTCTGTCTCCTGGTTTTTTAATCCGCGAGCACGCAACGAGAACGCTCTTACGATGCTCGTTAGCCTCGTCAACGAGAACAATTTCGTTAAAACTCGTAGCTCTCTCTTCCTCCTCGTTCAACCAGCGAGCACACCACGTCTGGTTAATGACGCGTGTATATCGAGGGGATGAAAAACGTCAGAGTGTTCTTCCTCGCGAACAGATGTATCCCGCAAAGTCTGGCCAAGATTCTCGGTAAAGGGAGGGAAAATAATCGCAAAATTGGCGAACGAGGCGAAAAGAAAGAGCGGGGGCGTGAGAAGAGGGGAATCGCGGACGAAATTAGCGGGAAAGTTGTTTAATATAGAAAGTTGAATAGGGCAGGGTGGAAAGACGGGGCATTGTGTTCGCCACTTGCACGGAACCGGAGTCGACTGGCGTCGTCGTCGTCGTTTCGCCTAGGCAACTTTCCCTCGGTTAATGCCCCTAATTTATTTATTTCCCAATTATTTCCCGCCGGACCTTTCGACCTCGTCTCGCAACTTGGCCGCGCGCGAAGTGCCCTTCAACTTCTCCGCCGCCGCGCCGCTCCCAGCGGATTTTTAAATTGATTCCATTCGACGAATGGGCGGGCTCGCCGGTGCATGTAATTTCTCTGAAAAGGCTTGGTCCGCTTAAGAAAACTCTTTCTGGTCGTCGGTGTGCGCAAACGAGCTTAGATCCGGCTGTCTGTTACCAGCAATTCTTCACAGGTCGAATAAATAAAAAGATAGCAATTCGTCGGACCTGAAGGGACAGAGCGTAGGTATCGTCCGCGAATGCATTCGGTGTCGCGATTAAATTCCTCTCCAGATTGCCGGGACCCCGGGTAATGGTCGGGGAACGGCACATGGTCGCCATAAATTACGTATACACGAGGCATCCGCGCGTGTTGGCGGTGAACGATTATGGTTTCTTCCTCGTAGCTGCCTTCAAAGCAGCCCAGATGGCAGGCGATGAAACGAGTTGCAAATGACGTTGTCCCTTCCTGGAGGGTACGTTGCCCTTGCTAAAGCCCGTTCCACGCTGGGAAGAGTATCTACCGCGAGGCGAGGCACCGCGACGCGCGATCGATCGAACCGGGTGAAAGAGAGAGAGAAAAAAAAGACCTGCTGTCGACAGTGGTGCTCGCGACGCGTCGAGTCGAACGCGTTTTCGTGGCGCCTCCTCAGCCTCTTCTCTCTATCTCTGGAGTCTGCCTGCTGCGAGCTGCGCGATAAACCACGAAGGCCAAAGAAGAACCTTCCAGCCTAGATACACGTACGGTGTTACACACGTGCATGTATATTTATCCAGGGGCATCCAATTACGCTAAATAATTAAAAGGTATATTCGAGGCGAAAGTTAGCCGAGACTAAGGTAGAATGCTCGTTAGCCCCTGGTTAATTGCTTCTTCCGCGTCGTCCCAGGTTCTCGCGTATACGCCAGCCTTAAGCTCGGTCTTAACTATTTAGCTTGCACGCGATACAGCCGATGGAGTGGCTGCTTAATTTCACGGTTCGTCGCTGCTTGAAAATTTGGCGACGAAGATGAGGAGATCTCCTTGCCCACCACCTCTCCCTCCCTCGTGTCCTCGAGTTCTCCTCGGCGTCTTGGTGCACGCGCGGACGAGCAATAAAATCGGCTAGGTATCTCGTTACGCGTGCCACCGAAGAAAGGATGGAAAAAATTGCCTGCTGGTATGTCGGAGAGGAGACGAGGGAGAGAGGACGAAACGTGGTTGAAAGTAAAAGGGTGGAGAAAATAAGAGATATCAGACCGGAGGTTTCCCTCATTTTCACGAACGATCGCCGTTCGTTTTCACTCGTCTCGATCGCGGATAACGGTGCGGCGAAGCGTGCGCGGTCCCTTTGTACGGTGAATAGAAGCGGCTGACACATGGACAGGTGGCACACGGGCAAAAGGAACCGAGCGAAGAGGAGGACCAAGGGACTACTACTCCATCGAAGAAGAAGAGTCGTCTCCTACCTCTCTATACTTACGTACTTACTTACGTAGGTAGTGGCTGTGGCGAACGCGTCTGTGCCGAAGCATCCAGAGCTTGCCTGCCAATAATCTGGACAATAGGCAGCGACAATGGAAGGAAAGCTCGAGTGGCGATCAAAGTCGCGCACTCGTAGACGCCGAGGACGAGCACGTCTCCAACCACCGTTTTCCAAATTAATCTTCGACTCTCTCTCTCTCTCTGCTCGCTTTTTGCGCATTGTTTGTTCCGCTTATCCGCCGTTTTCCCTCCTACCTCTCTCTCGTTTCAGTTTCCACCGGTGTTGATCGAAGCGAAGAAACGTTTTCAAAGTTGTACGAACGAAACTCGGTAGAATGAGAGAACGCTACGCTCTCTAATTATAATTTCAAATGCAGGAGAAAAAGGGCGCGATACGTCTCGGTGTCTAGATGGGGTAGATTACCAAGGACTCGGGAATTGGCGGGTACGAGAGGCCACCAGGCCTGTCTAGCCCGACGAGTCCTTTCTTCCACCGGTGCTTGGTAATTTCTCATCCTCGCGAGGATGCACGCGCGCAAGAGGGATTCCAGAGGCGCGTAAGCCATTGTTCCGCGGACGAAGACAATTTTCACGGCGGCCGCTCTTTCCAGAGTCTCATTTAGTTTTTTGGGCGGACGCCCGTATCGAACGCCCTCGGCGCTGCGCTATCTCCTCGCCACGTAGGCCGTTGCTCGGATTTTTCCGCTTTTTCTCCAACGTACGAACGTTCGCAGCACCCTGGTAAAAGGGGACCGCTCCTCTATCCGTTCCACAAAGATTTAGATTTCGTTTCGTTTCGGTCGCCGAAGCAACTCCCGTTCGATTTTTCCCTCTGCATATTTCCTCCCGTAGAAAAGAATCGCACCATTCGTTGGTGCGAAAATTGAACGACGAGAGAGGATAAAAACAGTTGTTCCGGGCCACTTCCAACTGGGACTCGGTAATCGCGGTAACGGAACACGAATGGGCGTTCCTCCCTTGGAATTATTATGCGCGATGCGTACAAGGCGTCGTTGTAAGAGGGTTGTTCCGTGCGACCAGAAACGGGGTGAACGCGCTGCTAGTTTCCTGCGATATCAATAATTTTGACAGGCCATTATTAACGATACTAATGGCGGTACCGCCCTGCCTCGCTTCCGTGTTTCCTCTTATCACGCCCGGTTATATTCTTAATCGTCTATCGCTTAAGCCAGTGATCGTGTTTAACGTCGCCACTCGAAAGGGAGGAGAAGGAAACACGTGTTCTTTTGCGCCTGAGTCGTGGAAGATTCATCACGGAGACCTTTGTCGCGCGTTACTCGAACGGCGTTGTTCCGACGTTGGAAAGCGGTAAAAATTTGAATTTTTGACGAATTTCGAACGATGTGTGTTTCAGGTCTCTGTCACCAGGACGCGGTGCACATTACGGCGATCCTAGGGGAGAGCGTTATCTTCAACTGTCACGTAGAGTTCCCCGGTGAGCACCCAGTGCCCTACGTTCTCCAATGGGAGAAGAAGGTAGGCGACAAGGTACGATATCGGACGACACCCTCTGCTCTCTATATCCGTGAGTTAAATACGTGGGCCCCGCTCGAACAGCTGGGCGAAATCGTGCTCTGGTATCAGCGATCTTTCCGTTACGTCCGCGTGTATTACAGCGAGCGGTGAATTTTTGATTTATCTAGCTTTTACAGGGGCGCGCTCGGCGGGACACGATTTGAATAAGAAATGATATCGCGACGAGTACACTAGCCCCCGGGGGCTAGATACGTATCGGAGATTGGCCGGGCTGGAAATTGAACAGGATCGCCGCAACTTGGCCTGGTCGCGGTTCCATGGCTTCTTTTTAATTTGCCGGTCGAACGTTGCGTAATCGGGAACTGGAGCATGAAACCGGATGGCGGCGGCAGCGGTGGGGGTTGGTGGTAGAAAGAATCTCGTGTACGGATGAATGGTGCTCTCGTGTGAGCCACGCGATCGAATCTTGCACCCTCCACCCCCGTGGACCGGTGCGAGTTGCTCTTTTTATCGTTTCCTCTGCCAGCGACAGACGCGGTCAGCGGCCGCCATGCGCGTCGATGTACGTACTCTTTACGAGGTGGCTCGATTTGCTCCAAGTAGAGACGTTATTTCGCGTTGGAAACCGTATCGCGAATCTCGTATAGTTCGATACAGCTGACTCCGTGTTACAAGGCAAGAGGTTCGTAAATCATCTGTAAAAAGAGAATTGTTTCTATCGCGTCGTAAAGATAGCGCGGCACGGAGAACCGATACGTTTCACCGAAAAATCGCGGTTCTTATTCTTCTTTACGATTCCCTCTGAAAGGTTCTCGCGAGCAGTGCCTTTCCCCTCGCGACCAAGGTGATAAGGCATCCAGGTGCTCGGTGTGCCGCGCGGGCGTGCGCGTTTCAAAGGATTTATGGAGGCCGTCGCGCGTCGGTGGAGAGTCGAAACGGCCGCGCGCTAGGCGATACTCGATCGTTAAAAGAACGCATTACTTTCGGGGCTTTATGCGTTCGCGTGGGGCGAATTGCGCGGCTTTATCGGGCGCGTAGAAGGAGGTGAGAAATGCGATCGAGAGAGAGTGACAGGCTGATACCGGAGGCGAGAGCAACGGCGGCAGAAGCGGGGCCCCGTGAAGCACACATTACGTTTACCTTTTTCAAGCATACTGCAATGATTGTAACAGAGATACTTTTTGAATTGGCTTACGTATCTTATTGTTTTATACATATACGATCAGTTGTACGCTTACGTGCTTACGTTTTTTCGTTCGCGTAACTATTTTTGGTATTCTCGTTTTGGTTGGAAAGCGGCGGCGAACGGGACACGCCTCTCGTTCCCAGCCGGAGCGGGAAACGCCGGTTTCTTGGCTTCCCGCTCGCGTAGACTTCAAGTAAAAGTATACTCGTTGTTATTATTATCATCGATATACGTATATTATTGTATTTCGTTTCTTTCCACCGATGTATATCGTATCGATTGTTTGGATATATAAGCATATATACATGTATCTGATCCGGACTGGAGAGGGCAGAGCACGTTTTCTACGTCGATCAACAACGAAGTCATCCGATCACACGTTCTGTCAGGCAGCAACGTAGCCTGTAATAGCTGCTCGAATCATTCGCGCGACTCTGCGCGTCTCCCTCTTTCATTCACAAACGCATCACACTCTCGCGAATCATCGTTTCCATGATCGCAGCGTTCGCGGCGCGAACCGTCACGGTCACGTGAAAGGAAGAGCGACGCTTTTCGTTTCCCCCTTTTGTTCGCTCGTCGCTGCGATTAATTAACGCGCGATTTTCATATTCCTGCTCTTTCATCCCTCGTGATCGATCGATCTACCTGGTTCTCCAGCTAGTTTCAACCTGTGAAACGAGGATCGATTCGATTAAACGAACCGCGATCGATTCATTTTCCTTTTCTTTTTATCAATCGCCGCTCCTTTTCGCGCCCCTCCGCTGCGATCTCCCCCTTTGTAACGGAGAGTTCGTTGCACCGTTTCGAGAGAGAAAGAGAAAGTCTCCGTTCCTCGTCTCGTGCTCTCATCCTGTCCGACGTGTCTTCGACGTGTAACACCATGAATCTTCTTTTCCCCTCCGTTTCCCCTTTCTGCGCTGCTACGATAATTCTCTGTCGGATCTCTCTGTGTAACTCCGACTCTGTCTAACAAAATCCGCATTACGGCCCTCCCCCCGTAAGATTGCCAAGCTCGACGTCAAGTACGAAATTTCTCGGTTGGTCATCGTCCGCGTCGAGCTTGTCAATGCGGCGGACGACAGAACGGGGCGATACACTTTCCCTTCCTCTCGGAGGCGGAAAAATCAGGAAATCACGTCTCTGTCTCTCTAACCTCTGGTGCTTTGCATGAAACAACGAGCGGACGCGTGCTGACCAAACGTATCGCACCGTCCAGGGACTCGCCGCCAAGATAGGTGTTGTAGAACGGTCTTGGAAATATCGGCAGAGACATTGTCGATGGTTTGTGATCGAAGTGAAAAGGGTTTTTTTTTCTCTCTTTTTGTTTTTTCGAAGGGAAAAGCGGCGATCCCCGGGCGGCGAGGCGAAGGCTCGCACGCGAGCATGACCGCGTATCTAACATGCCACAAGACGAATGGTCCCGTATCGTGGGTGTAGCATTAAAAAATTATAACTGTGCCTGCGATGCATTATCTCGTTGTCGTTACGAGGCAGTCGCACCCCTGCATGCCCGTAGTTGCCGCGAGACTAATCTCCGTGTCACGTGTGAACGTACGGTCGCGGGCGTCGTCGTTACCGTTTAATCCGTCGCGTTCCGGGAAATACGGGAAACGAACGTGCCACTACGATTGCTTGCTGCCACACTCTCGCGTGCCTGCCTCGTTTAGGAAAGTGGAAGCGTTTTTTTTCTCTCCTTTCTTTACTTCTCTCTCTCTCTCTCTCTCTCTCTCTCTCTCTCTCTCTCTCTCTCTAACAGGATAACTTTATTAGCTGGAACTTTTCGCTAATTGATATAGTTTAACCCACTTGGCTACTCGGAACGATCACGGTATTAACGAACCAGAGAAAGATTACGAATTTCTCACACGATTTACCACGCTGACAAACTGAAGAAATTTCACCTGAAATTTTCATCTCGCCCAGCGACCGTTTGTCACGAAACGGTTAGTCGAATCGCATTTGTCGAATTCAGGGTAAAGCTAACGCTATACGCAGTTGTACGATTACCGAAGGATACAGCGCGCCGAATAGCCGGAGCTTCTGTTTCTTTTTGCTGTTAAACAGGATTTCGAGACGATTACCAGCTGTTGCGCCGGCCGACACGGGCGCATTAACCGTGAATTCGATATTAACTCGGTAAACCCGCGTGTATCCATCCTCGTCTAATTAATTAATCGATCAATCGATTCGACGGGACAATACGACGATTGCCGCAATGACAATCGCATCCGCTTCGGCAGATGCGGCTGCGATCACCGACTTCCTCTGCGATCGCGGTTCCGCTCCGTTCCGGGATTAAACCGATATATAAATTGATCATAAGCATAATGTCGTCATTGTTTGCTTATCATTACCGTGTCCACTTGTAATCCCGCTACTCTTCTAATAAACAGCGTGTTCCTCCGTGCCGTGGACGTTTCCTACAGGCAGTCTTTCCTTTGTCCCTTGATTTACGACGAGCAAGTGTAATTACAGCAGCTATTTACATGGAAAGAAATCTGACCAAGCTTGTACGAGGCTTTCGGCAATGAAACGGTCCGAGTGTTGGGTACGTCTACGTCGAAACTGCCGGAATCGAACGGTATCGAACGGTATCGACGATCCAAGTTGCGACGCGGAATTAATTACGCGGCGTTGAAGCTACTCGAAGAGGAGGGTGGGTTCTTGCGGTGCGATTTTTCCGCCGCAAAACGGATTTGAAAGCGAGCCGGAGACGACGTGCCCCGGCCATTTCCATTTGCAGGCTGCTGCCTGTAGAGGAAGAGGGGCAGCAGGCAGCCTGTTTTCTTTTTTATGCGCGCATAAATCGAGCCCGGGGGCTTCCGAACCGCTTCTCCCCTGCCCCTCGATTCACCCCGTGCCACTGCGGCTGACAACTAATTTCTCTTCCCGTCCGACTTTTTTCCTGGGCACCGCGTCGCGTCGCGTCGCGATCGCTTTTCGCGCGGCTCTTCCGCCAGTTCCGCTCCACGCACTCGTCTCTCGCCGAAGCGTGCACTTTTGCGAACGCTGCGGAAGACGAACGACCTGAAGTATCGTATTTAACTCTCTCTCTCTCTCTCTCTCTGCGACCTCCTCTTCGTCGCTTTTGTAAAGAAAGAAAAAGCACTGTATTTGCAGTAGCCTCCGTTGTTATCGTTACATCGTAGGAAAGCTGCAGTTTCGAGATGGGATTCGTAAGTCTCGGATCGATGGCAGGTAACGAGGCGCCGCCGCGGCGTCCTGCCGTTCAATTGCATCGCGTTTATCTAAACGATATTCCTCGTCCCGACTAATGGAACACGACGGAACAGCGCAGACACTTGACCTCCCGGCGAGACTGTCTCTAGACTACCTTTCGAGGCCTCTCGAACGCGTTAAGTCGCTTCCGGATTGCCACGCGGACACGTACGTTAACGACCAAGAGTTTCGTAACAGTTGTGAGTGTCGTCGTTTCTCTCTTCCTCTTTTGTCTATTTGCATAGACGGCTGACAGAGGAACGAGGCGAATTGGAGGAAGAAGAAGAGGAAGAGGAAAGCTCTTTGGCTGCAATCGGTAGAAAATAGAGGAGCGCGAGGAAGGGTCGTGTTGATGCCTAAGGGATGGGGTAACAAGGCGAGTTTTTCCTCGACTGTCGTCGCTGCTCTGTTTCGGAAAGAGGGAAGGAGGACGGCCAGTTGACGGACCGTGGAGAGAAGGGTGGACGTTTGCGAGGGAGAGACCGTCGGGACCAGGAGCGTGGTGTAATTTAATGAAACAAATGGAGACAGAAGTGAACTGCGCGACAGTGGCGAAAGAAAAGGGCGAACTAGGAAAGGGGAAGGAAGGAGAAAG